GACTAAGAAACAGGGTCCTCTGTACTCTGATAGTATCATCCATGACCTCTCAACATTACTTTCCAAAACCAGATAATAAAAACTGTTCAGTCCTGTTCAGAACCCTTCAGTGCATATTTATACAGAATTAAAATGAGAAAAAAGCTATTTAAAATAAACCAATGCACAAACTAGGTAGGCTTGTTCCACCTACCTTATTAAGTTCTAGTCCAGTTGTAGGATCCACTTGGTCATCAGGGTTGCAGCACATTGTAATAAGACATGAGAAGACATATTTTTATTTAACACCAAAAAAAAAAAAAGTATATTTCTCAGACAAGATTTGTGTAACCCTAAAATATACAGTCCCAGCAACAGTTTTTACAGAAGGAAAATTTTTAGGGTCATAGGACTGTGTGTACACCAGGGATCATACACATGTGTACACCTTGGAGACCAGATTAGTTTGATTGTGATCAGTGAATGTGCCTTTATTTTTGAGTCCTTCTGAACCAGCTCAGATCACAGTTCTGGCCTTCTTGTAGGAGGCTGAATACATCCTGCATGCATCCATGATTTCTTAGAACCAATATGGCAGTGCTGGAAAAAAGAAGAAATGCTTAAAACAAGAAAAAATATGTATCTAGACTGACAGAAGGCCCATCCATTAACAGGTTTGATATATCCTTCTGGCTTGGCTGTCATACCTTGAGAAGCAGAAGAAAGCAGTAGAACAAAAAAAAAAAAAAAAAAAAAGTAACCATTTAAAACAGCATCTGTCCAAAAGCAGCTGCAGTGGCATGTAGTTGACATCTGGAACATAAACCAAGTTGCAAAGTTGCAACTTTACTAATCTCACAGAGTGCTGGTACCTCAATGACAGATACTTCTTGCGAAGAAGCAATGAGCTGAGAAACCTCTCACAGTAGTCATTGTTAGGTGTTTGCTCTAATATTCAGATTGTAGCTATTGCCACTGTAGCACATGTCCTCCCTTTCATAATAATCATAGCTGTGCAACAGAGCACCATGGCCAGTTGCATTTGGACAGGGAATAAGTTACTTATTTTGGAATGTTGCTTGAGGGTAGAAAAAAGGGCGTTGGGATGGGAGACTATTTCACAGGCATTAGTTAGCATAGCAATGAAGACAAAGTTATTTGAAGTACTCCAATATTTCTGGTCTTTTTCCCCTCTCACAAAGGTAATTGACACAAGGCATGCAATGCTGAAAACGGGAAGAGCAAAATAATTTTAGAGAGTTTTGAAGGTCAACAGAAATTGCAGAGGATGAAAGTAAAAGTTCATTTAAGTAACAGGACCTTGGAAAAAATAGGAATTGAAAGTGTAATTCTAAAATGCTGGGTTCTAAGGCCTTTTTCCTGCCCTTGAATCTATTCTTTCTACTAAAGATTACTCTGTCTAACAACACAATAAGTCATGCCATGAGGAACAGCTCTCACATTATTTTTTTAAGCAGTCAGAAGGAAAGATAAAGGTTGGAACTGCAAGCAAGCCAAATGTCAACCCAAATGCCTAGTCTGACATTGTCTGGTTGTTTGCTCCACCTTGCACATGGTTTCCCAAAACTACCCAATCTACTTTATCCACTTCTGTGATAGAGGAATTGCCACACAGCAAATTAGTTGCTGCACAGCTGCACAGCTAATTAGTTGATTATAAATGATTGTCATCTAATTCTTGTATTTGTTTCGAACTGCTGAAGTAGAAATGAAAAACACAGGCTGTTGAATAGGGTCACTCAAATAAATAAATGAAATCAATTCACAGTTAAACCACTTGCCATCAAGACCTTATACACCATTTATCCCATCTAACTTGAGATATCCACAATGCGTAATAGCTGCAGTCATCAAGGTCTACCTTAACAATCTCTTAGAGCCTAATTCATCATCATTTTTAGATACATGCTTCCTAAGGTCAGTGCAAGCCATGAAAATGAAAGATATCAATGTCATCCTGAGTCAAGGAAAATACAAATGCGGAAAAAAATGTTTACTTTATAATGGCATACTTATTTATAGAAAGGTTGAATCTAAGAGACATCCCATCTGATGAATTCAGAACTAGTAGCAGTAGGAACTGAAAGGTCCCAGTAAGGAGGATAGTGCCTAACACAGCCTCTGCAGTGAGCAACACACAACACCTATAGGGCATGAGATCTGTGGTCAAACACTGATGGACAGAGAAAGACTCCTGAATCAAGAGTTCAGCCCAAACAAGAGATAACAAAGAAAATATAACGAAGATGCTAATCCTCTGAAGAATAGAATAAACAAAAACTGGTTTGGGCATTGATAAGACTGAAAAATCTGATATCCCTCTTTCCTGAAAGTAGTGGCTGAGCTCAGAAGAATAAAAGAACCTGAAGCAAGGAAGAGCAATGGGACAATGAAAGCACAGTCAAGAGGACTCTTCTCAGAGAATTGTTAATAGCTGAGCCAACAGAAAACTAACACCCTTTAGAGTAAATGGGCATGTGTTGACCCTCTGTTCAAAAATCTTGACAGGAGAACAGTTAGCTGAATCATTCTAAAATTTTGATCCTGAGTGCAGAAACTATAGACACCACAGAGTAGTCTGACGGCCTGACTAGAGAAGCCCCAAGCCCACTGGGTTTGGTGACAGAGATATCAGAGCCTGGCTGAAAGAAGAGGAGGCAAAAGGCCAAGAGGCACAGTGACGCCAATGTACAACCGCTGGAGGAGAAGGGGAGAATTGGGAGATGAGTGCCAAATGTTGTTCTGATGATCTGGCACATCCATGGGCTCAGACAACTGCTGTTGAACACAGGCATTTTTCAAGCAATTTAAATTCTTCATAGTGCTTTAAGAAGCCTCTTAAAAATAGGTCCTAGTTTGCCACTAGGTCCTGGCAAAGCTGTTGTCCATAGCAATAGAGTCCTGGAGGCTGTAATTTATGGCTTGAATTGAAGAACAATCACAAAGGATGTCTTTTTTTTTGTGTGTGTGTGTGTGAAATAATTGAGAATCACTATTTATATGCCAAGTAGGATTTTAAGAGCCAGGTGTTAATGCCTGGAGAAAATTGTATATGTCTCTTTGCAAACATGAGTGGTTCAAGCCACAAGTCAGTAAGAACAGCACACTCCATGAACAGATTTTATCAAGAGAAGGCAGGTGAGAAAAAAAAAAAAAAGTTAAAATATATAGAAATAAAACAGTAAAGGGCTGCTTAGACCCTGTTTAGGGCATAGCAGATAGATACAAATCTCCAGTTTCTGCTGTCACTGTAAAACAAGTGCCCAGCATGTAGCATGTTATGCAGTTTCATCTTTGTGGAGCAGGTGAACTCTGTAGCACATCACCTCATCCTGGTACTTACATAGTTCAGAGTTAGGAACTTGCTGCAGTGCTGCAGGGCTCAGTTTTCTGACTGATTTCCTCCACTGGGGCATGAGAACATGTGTTTTAAACCATCTGATAATACATTACCTGTGCTATCTGAACTCTCATGTTCTGGAAGAATAGATTTGCCCTTACAAATACTCCAATGACTGGCCTTCAACTGATGTTAAGATTAATTGCTCAAAAGCTGGAGTAGGTGTCTGCACACTACACCATGGTCATTCTATCATGAGTGCATCAGGCAACCGTTCCCTCAACACAAAAAAACTCTGTAAAATTATCTTACATTTGTAAATTGAAACAGAGAAAAGCAAAGGCCATGTTCCAAGAGCAGAAATGAGGACATGGTAAAAGCAATGACAGCTGGTAACTCAGCCTGTCCAGTAAACAGTGTGGCAGGTCTCCACAGGACCTTCAAGAGCCAGTACATAGATCTTTTTGATAATGTTATACTATGGGATTAGTAAAGACAGAAAAAAACTTTTTCACTTCAGTCATTTGTTAGATTTGACATTGCTACTGAAGGACACAGTCCTTTCAGATGCTGAACAAATGTGACTCCTACTGACTTAACATCAGTGGTTCAAAGGAGAACCTTCATCTGAAACACATATTTAGGTAAGAGAGGAAAAAAAAATCTAGTACTCCAGTTGCTCTAGCAGATTATGGGGGGATTTACAAATAAAACATGTTCTGAATGCTTGATGTCCATTTTGGCAGCTCTTGAATCTTTTTTCTTATTGAAAACTGCTGTTTGCTGCAGTCTATATAAAGGCTGGATTTTGCCATACAGGAGGCATTTCAATTTATAAAAACATCTCAGAATATGGAATCAAAGCTCTGTAATTAGTTAAATTTCATAGGAAGTGCTAACATGTATTTCCTAAAGAGAAAATTAGTGTAGTAGCAAGTGTGTGTCACTTACCTAGTGTGAATTCACCTGCTTCATTTATGTGTCATTTGTCCTCATTTATTTTTAACAGCCTTCTTCAAACTAACACTTGACAAAAGGTAAAAGATGTGAGTGCAGTACACTGAGATGTGCACTTAGCTGAAATGAATAAAACATGTCAAGCAAAAAGTCTTCTTCAACTGTTTCTGGTGAAGCTGTTCCAAAATTCTTCTGGATTTTAACTTAAACTTTCTTACAATTTTGGAAAAATAATTTAGGCATGTAAGAGAATAAAGATATCCCAAGAACCATATGGGTATATACAGTTGTATTTAAGAGGCCAGTAATGTGATTTGTTTTCAATAGTGTTGCTAATCACCTAATCAAATGCCCATTCAAAGATCAGCAAACCAGTATCAGTCAAATCAGTGGACCTTATTCACTTACTAGCCTTCTTTATTTAAACAAAACAAGGGACATGTAACTTGCTGTTCTAATGAAGGGTTACAGACACAGACTGAAAAAGGCAAAGTAACCTGGAAGAGAGTGCATTTCTGAAATAAACTGCTGCTTTAACAAACCATTTCTTGAGATCGAGCTTGAAAAATAATAGGGCTATATATTCCACTTAAGTTTGAAAATTCAAAGCATCGTTAGCTAAAACAATATACAACTTATTTTTTTTTAATGGGAATGATAGCTTTGAAGAGCATTGTTCATGAATATAATACATACATAATGCTGGGTTTAATATTTTATTTGAATGACGTTCAATGTTACGCAAAATAAATTTTTATGTTACATCCACTGTGACATCAACTAAAATGTGAACTAGTTTGCATAGGTTAGTACTTTGGGCAGCATGATGTTGCTCTAGTCCACCAAGGCTTAAATATTCACAGTGTAGAGGAAGAAACAGGAATTAAAGCATTTCTACTAAAATATATTTTAATAGCTGGTGTTAACTTTCTGCATAACAAAAGCCAAATTAAGATGATACATCATATGATCCAAGAGTAAGTATATCTGTCCTTTGAAAAACAATTGTTACCTTCAGAACTGTATACTCCCAAATACAATACAGTTTTACAAAATAACTAAAACTTTACACACTTGAAAGCAAACATAAGCCAAACTGCACAGCGGTTCATTTTTGCTTTTTATGTCACACTGCAAAAACCAACAGCTGAGAGGTTTTCCACATCATGCTAATCAATGTCAACACAGTCATTGCTGTCTTCCAATGGTCTAGCAATTTCTAATAGTACTATTAAATACACATGATTGAAATGCTACAGTATAGCTTATTTTCCCCCCTAAAATAATAATAATTAAACAAATGTCAACAACAACTGGATTACAACTTAAGTACAATATGCAAATTCTATTTATCAGACACAAGAAGCATATGAAATTTCTTTGAATATACTGTTGTAGTGCAGGCAGTTTAGGAAATATAGCTTTCAGGTTTTCCTTCAAAAGGAATGAAGGGGTTCCTATGGCATAAAGCTGGAGAAAATCACTAAAGCACTGCAAAATGGTTTGTTCTTCTACAGCTCACCAGTACTTTGCATTTGCCAGCACATCAGTTTGGAGATCTTTCAACAGCATCTTTTGTCTGTTGCAGTATATTATTTAAACATTTACTAACTAAAGCTTATTCTGTATTTTAAATGGAGTATTAATCAACATAATTAAAATCTAACATTTTATACCCTGTACCACTTTCTGCCAAAGACTTCCATATTTGTCATTTCTTTTTCATTGTACAAGATGACATGCCATCACTGTACAATAAAAACTAAAATTATTACCTTTCCCAAGTATTGGAGACCTTTCATATCCCCGAGGAACACTCAGTAGGGACACATTTGTCACAAATACAATCCATGGGAGGTGATTCTCTGTCAAATCCCAATCTGCTGAAGTGGTTTATGGTATGTCAAATGTAATCAAGAAAACCCTGTTTCATCAAGATTAAATGCTAATGTTCCATAATGAAAAATTACAAACTGCAGTATCTGTAAGTAGCTTTGTTTAGAAAATGAAGATTAGCCAGGCAAGAAAGAGTAATGAAAAGCAAGGCACCCATTTGTTCTTGTGTATATGTATGAATATGCTCTATGTAGTTTTCTATACTTATATTTAAATATATGTAAGAACAATAGCACATCATAATTTCTTTGTTTCTAAAATGCTTAACATGGGAATGTGTGAACTTCCAGCCTGAACTTTGGAACATCTTGGGAAATTTGTCTCCTTCAAAGTCTGTTCCTTTCCCCAGGGGAAAAAAAAAAAAAAATGTTTACAGGAATAAAGTATAGTGAGGGAACAAGGCTGTGTTAAAAAGGAATATACATTTTTAAAGTGACAGGACAGCATACAACATCTGTATACAACATACAACATCACCCCTTCACACAACTGATGCTCCAACATATGCCTTGTGAAACCTGCACTTGTCCGAATTGGTTGTTGACCTACTCTCCCTACATTACAAATTTTAGATTTTATAAAACATTTTGAAAATTGCACTCTGGTAATATTGGGCCTTTGATAGCACTGCTTAGAACAAATTTTCCCAGTGAGAATAAATAAAGGCTGTTTTACATTAAAGATGATGAAACATGCCAAAAGAGCAAGAATTACTAAGCACATACAACATAAAAAACCTGACTACATAAATGAGTAACTTAAAACAGACCCTAATAATTCTGCTGACATACCATTTTCATCAGAAATACAATTCATATGCTTTGTTTTCTTGACCTTTTTTATTTTGCAAATTGCTTTAGGTGCTTTGCCAGGTTACTGAATATTCAAAATTCATAAAGGAAATTTTATTTCCATTGTTTAGCTCCACATAATCCTCCATTGAGATCAAATATTCATTTTCTGATTTACTTTTCACTATACATTCAAGACTGGAAGTCTGACGTAGGAAGAACACTGGTGTATTTATAGGTTGAGAGTTTCTTTTTTTGTAAATCACTAAAAATTGCAACTTCATGCAATTTATTTATTCCCTACTTTCTTTTCCAGTCAGTTTGTTAGCAAACTGACAACTAGCTTTTATTGTTGTCAGCATTACAGAGCTAATAGAGCAGCACAGCAGCAAGTGATATCCAATTCTGCCTCAGGCATCATCAGAAAAATTTGCCAGCCACCATAAAATGGGATTCCTCTCTCTGCTGTTGATGGCTGGTGATGAAAACCAATGCAGAGGAAGACTGCTTTTTTGAGAGCTTCTAGCTGAGCCTACCATATCAGCCTTTTGAAAAAGCCATTTGACTTGCAGAGCTAGCTAATTTAATGTGGAAGTCAACAGTAATGCATAAGGGTCTATTACAGCCCTCATTTTTCAAGAATTTTAAATGACAGCAATGTGACCCATACAGATTGCACATTTACAGAATCACATTCCTGGTTGTAAACCACATTTTTTGAAGTTAGATGCTCCTGGTCAGCTTTAGCCTTGAAATTAGGCAGTAGACAAGAAAGCAACACAATTCCACAGACTTTTTTTTTTTTAATGCAGTCATTCCATCCTCTGTTTGGCAGCCTGGAACCTGCCCTTTGTTAAGAACAGGGAAAGAAATGCATTAAGCTCTCCAATTCCTAACGATATTCAGAAATAGAACTAGGAAGTGTTTGTACTGACAGATTTCAGTTGCAAATTTCAGATGTGATAGAGCCACATTGTCTTCTTTGTTGTTTAAAGACATACTATACTGCAGGCTTCCTTATTTTGTGAAATAAAAAAATATCAAATTATCCATAATCTCTACATTTAGTTCTACTTTTAAAATTTCAGACATAAAAGAATGCCAGTGTAGATTCAATATTCTGACAGCTATTCCAAAATTAAATTCTCTATCACATAGCTGAACACCAGAAGTTATACCATCAGCAAACACACTTTCTTCCTTACTCTTATATGCATCCTTATGAGTAAGTTCCCACATGGATCTTTTACTCTCTTTTCCTTCCCCCCAGAGTTTCACCCTGGGAGGGAACACGGCACGCTCCTGGCATTGCAATAAAGCTAAAGGAATTCCCTTGTGACTCAGGCCTGCTCAACTAGTCCCTCACAGGTCACCAATTATTTGATCTCCTTCTCTCAGCCTCACTGACAAAGACCTGGATCCTGTACTTCGGATCATAAGTTCATGGGCACCAAAGAGCACATGTGAAAGTTTGTCAGCAAAATATTGTTACTGTTTTCTACACATGGCTAACCTGAAGCGTGATGGAAGAGAATACGTTGGACTTTTGTTTGGTTAGTTTTACTTTCAGTGTCAGTTATGAAAAACAATAAATCAGTTAAAAAATATATATATTTCTCCTTCATTAATCATTTTGTAAGCATATAACTCACTGTTGAATCGCCAACATTTTTGAGGAAACAGAAGCAATAGGCCACTGAGCTGAAATGCACTACAATAACCAGAGCTCTTCTCCACCCTTCAATGGAGGTGCAAATATTTCTGCAGCAGGGGTAGGTGCATTAGCTCATCAGTAAAGCAGCCATTAAGCGAGTTACTTGTGAAAAGATGGAGGGTTGTGACTGCACACTTTGTGTGACTGCACAGCACTGGGGCCTCACACAGGCTATTTACAGCAGTACAGGGGAAAGTAAAGGAATATGAAGTATTGGTCATACATTTCCCTAGTGGAAACTTCTACTTAAATGCTAAGTAGTTTTAGAAAGAAACAGAAGAGCTGACTGTTTTTATACTCTAGATAGTCTCTGCAAGGAATTTGCTGTGGAAAAGATACTGAAGAACCATGAAGCCAGGCATGGACCTAACTGATGGACTGGGATGCAAGCAAAGCTGATAGAAGAGGTCACTGTTGTGATTAAAAGAAAATGGATAATCCAGAAAAAAACGTGGGCAAGGAAGAGTTGGCAAAGTGTTGCTGTCAAAACAGACCTTTCTTATTGTCAGGCTGTTGGGCAGTAGTGTTTTTTTGTTTGTTTGTTTTACAAATATATTACTTGTCATTATTTCAAATGATTGAATTTTCTACCCAACACTTTTATTAGAACACTAACTTCTCAAACATTAAACATCTCCTTAATAATCGGAAGATGTGATCAAATTCAGTGTGTTAACCTCTTTTGACTTCAGAGTGCCAGAAGAAATGAATCAATTTCATGGTTACTATAAAGAGAAATAACCTCTGAGATGTAGAGAGAAGCTATTTCCCCTTTACAGCTAATTGACCAAAATCTTTATAAGATTAGCAGCACCAGGCTTCGATATAAGTTTTGTGTTCCTTTTTTTTTTTTTTTTATAAAGGGAGCACTATTATAAGCAATGCTGTTTTCAAAGCTCTAAGCTTCTTGTTTATTTGTCTTTACTTTAAAAGACTCTAAATGAGAATGCAGACAGTTATAGCAGTGATAAAGTAATGAGCATGTGGTCTTAAAAGATTCTTCTGACTTTCTAAAAGGTTAGATTTTGAGTAAATCATAATAAACCTCAAAGAACTAGAGACAAAAGTTAGTTAACAAACTCAATATAATTTGCTGGAAGCATTCCTGTTTTCCCAGTTCTCTGAACAGTACCATACATCCAGCCATCATCAATTGGTTGCACATTGATGATATAGTCACCATCCCTGAAGGAAACTTCGTCTTCATCTTGAGCACTGTAGTCATACATAGCTCTGTATGTTCTCTGTTGAAGGAAAGAAAACAAGGTTGTAAAGTCTCTGGCCTAAGCAGAAATACTTTCTTTCTCATCTTTGCTCAGAAAAGAAGAGCTGTATTAAATATATATGTACATATATTTTAAAAATAAAATAAAATAAAATAAAATAAAATAAAATAAAATAAAATAAAATAAAATAAAATAAAAAGGAGCAAGGCAGAGAGAGAAATCATACAAGTTACCTGTTGAAAAGAAACAATATACTACCCCCTGCCCTGACAAACAGTCAATTAATCTAATCCCTTTTTCTGAGTACCAAAATAATTATTTTTTGTGAAACATCATTCAAAGTCTTCATACAAACAGATTTCAGACTATTCACTGTCTCTTGAAATATTCCAGCTGTTGTTTCCTGTATACACTGGTAACAGTTCATTATGTCCTGCCATAGTTAGCTGTGTTTCTGCAGCCCATTTGCATGATTCCCAAACAGCTTTTCCTACGTCTTCACTACAGAAAAGAAATGTGGTTTTCATCCAGTTCATTAGCTTTGCCTTCTCTTTGAAAGTCCTTCATCTCATTAGGATTTTACTCTGTGTTGGGTTTATATGGCAAGGTTTGGGCAGTGGGGGGCTGCAGGGGTGGCCTCTGTGAGACAAATCCAGAAACTGCCCCACATCAGATCAGAGCCAGCTCCAAAAGGGACCCGCCCCTGGCCAGAGCTGAGTCAATAACCAGTGTTGTTTGTGCCTCTGTGAGAGCAAATTTGAGGAAGGAGGAAAAAGAAAACCTTCTGCGCAAAAGCAGCTGGGAGAGCAAGCAGTGAGAACTAGTGCTGCAGACCCCAAGGTCGGTGCATCAGGAGGTGCTCCAGGCATGCAGCAGCAGTTCCCGTGGCCTGTGGAGAGGCCCCTGGTGGAGCAGGCTGTCCCCCTGCAGCCCATGGGTCCCACATGGAGCAGATCTCCATGCTGCAGCCTGTGGAGGAGCCCCCAGTGGAGCAGGTGGACGTGGCCTGGAGGAGGCCACATAAGAGCAGGCCCCGGGCCAGAGCTGCAGCCCGTGGAGAGGAGCCCCTGCAGAAGCAGGGGGGCTGGAGAGAGCTGCCATCCATGGGGGACCCATGCTGGAGCAGTTTGCTCCTGGGGGATGGACCCCGTGGTACGGAGCCGTGTGGGAGCAGTTCTTGAAGAGCTGCTGCCTCTGGGCAGCCCCCACAGAATCAATTTGGGAAGGACAGCATCCTGTGGGAGGGACCCCACATGGAGCTGTGTCATACAGGCTGACCACAGCTCCCATTCCCTGTTCCCCTGCACCACTCAGGGGGAGGAGGTAGAAGAGGGTAGATGGAAGAAGATGTTTTTAGTTTGCTTTTACTTTCTCACTGCTCTAGCCTGTTAGTAATAGGTAATGAAGTATATTAATCTCCCTATGTTCCGTCTGTTTTGCCTGTGACAATAATTGTTGAGTGATCTCCCTGTCCTTATCTCAACCCTTGAGTCTTTTCCATCATGTTTTCTCCCCTTTTCCCTTTGTGGAGGGGGAGTGAAAGAGCAGTTGTGGTGGAGTTCAGCAGCCCAGCTAGGTAAAACCACCACATACCCTAAATTAAGAATAATGAATACAACATTATCTAATGAAAACAAGACTCAAAAAGATTTCAAGAAGCCTACAATTTTATTTTATTTTTTTCCGAATACTCACTTTTGCATATTCAGATAAAAGATTAACCTAAACAGAACAAGAAGGCCTGTCATTAGCTAAGGTAAATTATTCTACACTTCTGTCAGCTGTAGGCAAAGACTTCCATTTTCTTTCTAAATAGATAATGTATTTCCACTCAAAACTAACAAAATGCTACCATTTACTGGTATTCAAAGTGGCTTTTCTAACCCATTGGAAACCCTTCCTTTCTTAATAGCAGAACAAAACTTTTTAAATTCCCAAGAGTGCTTTCTTTCCCATGTATCTAGACAGAATTCAAGAGTAATTCAAGCATCACCGATAATAACCAACTTGCCCTATAAGCTCCTTCTTGTATGTCATCATATATGCTGGTTTGTTTGTTTGTTTCTGGCAAAGTGATTTAAAGAGTAAAATGTTTAAAAAGAAAAAAAAAAAAAAAAAAGAAAAAAGAAAGTTAGTGTTTGAGTTAATGTCTAGTACAACTGTACAAATCTTTTAAGAGAGAGCAAGGTTTGGTCTTCTTCCTACCTGAGGAAAATAACTCTGGATTAATTTTAGTTCGATCTCATATATGTGTATTTTGAGTTTGTTTTTTTTTTTTAATCAAATCATCTCCAGAAACAACGGAAATACCCATAAATGACACAGTGAGTCATTTATCACACTTAGGTCATTTGGGGTTGTTTAACCCAAACACAACAAGACAACTCATTATAACTGCTTCCATGCTAGAAAATACCCTTTAGGTCTCAATTCTGGCTTTATGATTGGTAAAACAGATTAAACACTAGAGAAATCAACTTTTGGTTAAACACTGTAGACCACTTCCTTGCCTGACAAGCCTACTCTATAAATACATTTCTATCTTACTCTGTACAACTGTTCGTTGCTATGCCTTGTAATATTGCTGCCCTACAGCCTATGACCAAGACAGACCTTAAGCCTGAGTTATGTGGTTTCTTGGTAGTTCTTTCATATATTCCAAGGGTTCATGTAAGATGATGAAAGAAAGCACCATTGCATATGCAATGCATCAAAGGAAACAGTTGGAGGGTTCTATCACCACTAAAAATTCCTTAAAGATTCACAAACCAGAAAACTAGTGGTCAGAAACCCTAGGGAATGGTCTCTGCCTTTGAGAACCTTATTTTTTTCCAACTATTTCCACTGATCTCTCCACTGAGCCTTGAAATTAACTCCAAAAACAGCAAAAGATACGCTATTATAATGAGCTCAGCAGCAGTTAGTCCTTTAAGCAGTTTGTTTCCAAAAAAAAAGAATTCATTTAATACAAATGGTAATAAGTCCATGCCTGGCATAAGCCAAGGAATGGATTTTCCCCTGAGCCATGCTTATATGCCTCCTTTGAATGAAGGAAGACTGGAGAAGAGGTTAAATGTATTATTAGGCTAACATATATTGGAAGAAAACTAAGAAGTTTTTGCTCAACCAGAAGAATGCTCAGTCATCCTTAGAACATCGTGGTACATACTACTGCTGTCTCCTTTATGGTGGCAAAGTTGTGGAGTTGAGCTGGCAATTTCAAACTTAAAAAAAAAAAAAAAAAAAAAAAAAAAATGATTAGGGCCCTAAATGCTGCCGTGGAACCTAAATTTATGGCCTTAACACCTAATTAGGTGCTAAATGGCTGTCAGGAGAAATCTCCATAATAATCCCGTTAGCTTTTAATGCCTAATTATCACTTCAGAATGTAGTCTGGGCTATATAATTGAGAATTACAATGCTTAAAGGACTCAAAGCATGGATTTTTAAAATGTATTTTAGTGAATCATTCCTCTGTCAGTAGTGAGTTTAGCAGGTCTGAGAGCACAAGAGGGTATAAGAAAAGGTTGGGGGTTTGTAAAACAGTCAAATATGCCCTTACTTCCTACTTCCTCAAAGGTCTATCTTGTATCTACTGCTTAGAAAAGAGCAGTAAGCCTTGTGCATATGAAGTACCAAAGTTGAGCTGTCATATTCCCAGCTCCTCAGCCAGATGCGAGCTGACAGATGCATATTTCCAGTTCATCCATCAGCTTATGCTTATCCTCTGGATCTGTCCTTGCAAGGAGAAGTACCTGTTGCAGCATCCTTCATATAGAGCAGCTATCAAAGAAAGCCAACTTGCAACCTGGGTTTTGTTTTCCTAACACTTTTAGCTACATAAGGGCTTCAGAACACCCTGTTATTTTCCAAAGAGGCCAACACAGCCTGTACAAAGCCTTCAGAGGGCTGTTATAAAATATCCTGTATACTGAGCAACAGTTTAACCCAGACCGTTATGCTTATAGGAAGTCAGCAAAAGCTAAGAATCAGAAATAATGCAATTAATTCAGGAAAAAAAAAAAATCTACTCAAAAACTGTGTTAAGATCATGCCTGATACAAAACACAGTTCAAAATTAAGTAGCCAATAAATAAAACAAATAGAAATTAGAAGCTTTCTATTTCCCACTATAGGAAATTAGTAGGTACGACTGTAATATAATTATGTCTTTTGGAGACCCTGATTTAACAATGCAACAAATGGTCTGAAAGGAGCAGGTTTTACTACAGCAGCTACCTCTTTAGTCATCCCCACCCTAATATATCCCATGAGGTCCTAATCATTCTCACCCTGGAGAAGTTCCAGCCAAACTGAGACACTGATGTGTGACCGTCACTTTCATTGCTTTTAGACAAGTTTCAGAATCCACCTGTGCTCTGAAACCAGTATTCAGGCTGTCACTTCTTTCCCTCCAGTCTCTTCACCCTCTTATTTTTTTCTCTTTTTTCTTTCTTCCCTCAGGGTGGCTTATCCAGACCATGCTGCATCTCTGGCAGTACTGCTACAAGCCCAAGACCAACCAGTAAACTGAAAGAAATGAACCTAACACTGCGCAAGTCTATCAGATCTCTAAGGACACATCCACACTGGATTTGAAAAGCACTGTAAGGCTACCTTCTTCAGTCTGCACAAATCACTACACTTAAGCATATCCCCAAACAGGGGATCCCCACAGCGTGCTCTGAGACTCCCTTGTACTGGCCTAGCAGCTGAGGGTAACACACCCTACACAACTGGACAAGCTGCACAGGCTAAAGAAAAGACTTTTGATGTCAAGGCAGAAAGACAAGGGAGCATGCCAGGTTTATAGCTGTGTCAAAAAGGCCTCTTCTGGAGCACAGTTGTCACTACAGGGAGGGTGACTGTCTTAAGTATTTGTCTTGTGATGTGTCTTAAGGAATATTGGCCTTCCACCTGCCCACATAGTGACGAAGACTGTTAAGTAGATTTTAGATTTTTCAGGTATCTCCATTCTCTATATGCTGCATTTGAAGCCTGTTTCCTTTGCTTCCCACTCACTTGAAAGTCTGCTGGCAAAGCCCAGCCTCCCATCTCAACAACTTTTTTGACTCTGGCCCTTTTGGAAAGCAGCCAACTCCCCAAGTGCCTTGAGAATGAATGGCTGATTCCAGTACCAGCCACCTCATGGTTGTCATGCAGGTAGGTATCCAAAGAGTTTCCCAGGTTATTGGCTCACCTAAAGATGCAATCATCTAGATCCCCTGCTCTTAAACAGCAACTTTTACAATATAAAATAGCATGGAGTCTTAAATAAAAATACAATACAATCAGGAACTTCATGACTGTGGCCATTGTTTGATGATAAAGCTTCTCAATCTCCCAACAGTGTAACTCAGTTTGGATCAGACAAGTGTTTGTGTGACTTTTCTCTTGAATTGGAAAGGATCTAATAGAGTCTAAGCTAGTTTTATACAAGCTAAGATAAGTAATATGGACAGGCATAAAGTCTGCTAGTACAAAATCAACAAGTCAAAAAGAATTAAACAAATTTAAAGCAACAGAGTGATCATAAGAGATTTTCATCCTGTACTAGGATCCCAATTTCGTCACACAGTACATCATCAAAGCTCACCCTGTGAAATAGTATCCAAACATTTACTACTATTAGCGGGTGGAAGATGCAGCTATTTTTCTGCCTTCTGGAGATCATAAATATATTTTTATGATACATTCTGACATAAAAGCTCTTGCCAGTGCCTTTTCATACATTAGGACTACCATTTACAATTAGGACAGTCAAATAGACCAACTGTAAAACTCAAGGAGACCATTTACTCATATTTAGGAGATTTCACAATTGCTGATGATGTTGCTTGCCAAATGAAATTCAATACTCACCAGGCCTGCTGAATGAGGCTGTGAATGCATTGACCTCATGGATGACATACTGGTCTGGTGCATGTATCCATATCCTTGGGACTGGCTTTGCTGATAGGCCCCAGGGAGAACAGGGGCTGTGTGTTAAAGAAATATAGACACATTAATGGAAATTAAAAAATAAAAAATATTTTTAAAAGTCCTTATCCAGCAATCTGTAGAACCTGTAGATTATTTCCTTCATAAATATCAATTTCTCAGTATGAAATAGTTAAGAATTATTCCCATATACAACATAAGGCTTCCATAGGTTGAATTATACATTAATGTAGCCAAAGTTAGAGCAATATATCTCCAAATGCTATCAAGGTTAGTTGGAAGGAAAAGCTTAATATGCCTTAAGGAATCTGACCATAGAAAGGCATACTAACGCTTGAGACACCACTAGCTGAATTTTGATACTGTCATTGACAACACACTAAGTATCATGTGCCATAAACTGCCATTTTTCAAGGAAAGATTGATGAAAAAAGCTTTATATCAGTACACATTTAAAATGCTTCAACAGACATTCCCCACGATTAGTTCCTAACTCATTGCAAACTCTTATGTATTGGGCTACAAACAAAGACTGATTCACAGCAAGAGACAGGAATGTAAAAACATGAGTCCACAGTTGGGTTTCTTAGTTTATTCTGATTCCATCAACAATCTCAGCCAGATCTATGGTTATTTAAATCTTTCCAAGTCCACCTCTTTTACAGTTTGTCTTAACCACACAATTGCTCCCTCTCTTTCACACATGCTTTGTTCATATTAATTTTAACAATTCTATCAATTCTATTATCCATAGGTTGTTTATTAATAAGCTGACTTTTATTGTACCAAAAGCTGCTGAAAGAGTTAATACAACCAAGGACTCCCTAGATCTGTTGTTTGAAAGTATTAGCAACCCCATATCTGTTCAAGCATCCAAATTCAGCAACAGACCGAATTTAAAAATAAATAAATAAATAAATAAATAAATAAATAAATTGAACAAAAATCTCTGAGAAACAGAGCAGAGCATAGATGACTATTCACTATTTTCCCAGCAAGTCCAGGAAACATTTTTAAAGCAAAATTAAGGCTGAAGTGGTTTTCAAAATCTAATCATTAAAAGTTTAGTTACCTCATGTCTGTGCATGTGTTACAAAATATCAACCTGAGAATAAGGTTTTCCAGCTTGTATAGAGGTTATTAGCCCATCTCCACTGCTATTTACTATAATCTTACTAGTTCAACTGAAAAGCTATATATTGTTAAGAAAATGCACCTCAACTGACACATCTTCAAGTGGTCCATTTAGCCTGTATTCTATTAACTTGTCTGACAAAAGCTGTCTTTTGCTTACAAGAGATGGAGCTCACACAGCCCATGGGTCAAAAACCTTCAAACATGGAGGCACTCAGCAGTCTGATGTTTTGTGAGAAATATCCCTTGGGCTTGCTGGGAAGCGAAGAAGCACTTCTGGAGCAGCCATCATACACTGATTCAAACAGGAGCAAAACTAATATAGCATTTAATGGGGTTCACAATGTATGGAAGGACCTAGGAATTGTTGAATGAACAAATACTTAAGAAGCAGGGGGGTAAAATATATATATATAACAAGTACTTATATTTGAAATAATAATGGTCTGTCCCTGTCTCCTTCTCAAGTGATCAGGACAATAGATACACATGGAAACACATTACTGAGAAAATATTTGCTGAAATATTTCTGAAATAAAGGTCAGCCTTATGCTTTCAGCCAAGTGTTTTACCTAACCTGCTTTCCCAGCTAACCATATCATTGATTTCAACAAAGTTTTTTTTCTAAACACATCCATTAGTTAGCATATTGAAATGCACTATGTATGTAATTATGATTTGGGACATTATTTTTCACTCTACTACATTTTCAGAGATAAGTAATGCAGTATATTTAAATATTTTTTTTTCTGATTTAGACAACATGTTGCAAACTATTGTAATGAATAGATTGCTTTGTTAAGTGAGTGAAATTAAAGTGATACACAGTCAGATGCAACACTGGAACATGATGAATAATGGATGTTTTAGAAGTGCCAAGTTCATTCTAATGACATATGAGTACAAAGACATTTTAAAGCAGTTTAATCATCAGAGAATTGCTGCTCGTTAACATGCTCACAGGATTATCATGCATTAAGTGAATAGTCCTAAGTAGTTCATCAACTAATTTATGTTTCAGTGTTGTTACAAGGTATTTTTACATGACCAGATGTATTCCTTCATGAGAAAATAGAGAAAAACATAATTTAATCAAAGATTCTGCGATCAAGCCAGAAAGAATATATTTTGCCTAATTCACTACCAGCATAAACATAGGTCACTTCACAGAAGCCAACAGAGCCTCATCTCCTCAAACCAGTAATAAATTGGTCATGTGGGTTCAAATCCAAGCACAGCTTGAACTTTTTAACTTCATAGGAAGAAGTATCTTAAGTAAGCACTGGCTGCTGATCAGTCAGCATCCTGCCTGCTCTGCAGTGACAAAGGGCTAGCAGCTTTTCCTTGGCAGGGACAGACACCCTGAGAATCCCTTTCGTCTTCCTAAAAGAAGTGAATGCACTGGTAGAAACCATTGACTCTTGATTCCTTCCCCACAAAACAGATCTTTCTTAATTCCTACCAATCATCCCTTGTCAGTGCAAGGCCAACTAATGGTCTCCTTCATTATGTACTCCAAATCGACGGGTTTATTTTGGAGAGGATAACCCCATGCCTCCCATCTTTGTGACAAATGTCAGCAGCGGTCTGAGATGTGCTTTTCTCTTTTGCAATCAGCTTCTCACAAAATGAGAGAATTCTGTCAAACTGTCTCAGAGAATCTGCAACAATTTTACCTGCAACAACAGAAAATGTAAGCCCAAGGGAGTAAAACATACCTTGTAAATCACTGAAAATTTTGGGACGCATAAGAAACTAAAATTTTAGAAAAACTTCCTAGACAGAGAGAATGAATTTATAGGATTCCACAGCTTCACTAAGTATCTTTCAGTCTTTTATTTAGAGAGCATATATAAAATCAGTGTTGGAGACATTTGACTGAATAATTCCAACCTTTTTTTTTTATTATTTCATTAAAAGAATACTATATTACTGGGGCTGTAAAAAAATAAATGAATAAATAAATAAAAGATCAACAGTTTTTAACAATTTTTTTATGTTATCTATTTGGAGGACACTTTAGGAAGCACATACATGTAAATAAGCAGATCAGTGAAGAGAACAGATCTGAGCTGTGTTTTTAGTGACAAAGTGAGTTTGAACTCAAAGTGAGATAAAAATGATGAAGAAAAAAAGAGTTTAAAAGTTTTTAATCATCATCGGCCATAGTTACCTGAAATCTTTTGGCTCAGACCAAAGTATAAAGTTCTATAGCATCACTGACTGCAGCAGCAGCAAAAACAATGGCTTTAGTTAACCTAAGGGAATAATAAAACACAGTAGTGGAACATGAAATTCATTTAGTTGAAGCCAGATTTATTGGTGAGGGATCTGAGGGTTGACCATTGCTCCCAGAAGCACAGGTGGAATTTTTTTCTTTTTGCATTAAGACTTTACCAGATGCATTCTGATGTACCAAAATTTTCTTTTTTTTTTTTCTTGCTCCACTTATGAATAAAGCCAGATACTTATTTTAAATTATCTACTAGAAGGAATTTATCATATTTTGCTTACTATATCCTTATAGGCTTCCCCAGAGAAACAAGAGTGGAAAATGAATGAATTTGATAAAAGACAAACACAGAGAAGCCTCTGAAACAAGAAACATCAGAAACAGAAGAACCTGAAAGAATGATAGTTGGTATCAACATGCTGCAGCAGACAATGGGGTGTGACAAGCTTTAAGAATGACCGTGAAAGAAAAAGGTCAGACTGTGGAAACAGGAAAGGAATAATCAAGAGAGCATTAAATAGCCACAAGGTTATATCTAAAAAAAATAATAATAATAAATAAAAAAAAAAAATATGCTGAAAAGAACCATCATTTAAAGAGCAGGGTCCAAGATATATTTTACCAACACCATTCTTAAACTCTCTTGAATTCTTTTGTTCAGCAGAACTTTGATGATCCATGGTAAAACAATGTATCCCCTCTACTAACTACTGTATTTTTACCATTTACTACAGTACATGTCATTTACTGGACCATATGTGGAATAACTTCACTTATTCTTAGACTTTTTTTTAAGCATTTCTTTCACTTCATGTTTTGATGTTATGTCTACTCATGGTTTCATTACCAAGGTAGAAAGCCTACAGAGAGCTAAAACATTGCAACATTTCTTAATAACAGCAGCACAAGAGAGCAGAAAGCAAAAAGAAGGATCATGATTATTACTCATTTAATTTTTGTGTCTGTAGAGTTCCCAAGGAGCAGCGAAGTTGCAACAGAGACAGAATATGGCATTATCATATATCTCTGTGCTGATTAGCTCCCCTGAAACAGAAGAAGCTGCTGCTCCACGTATATTTAACTCCTTCCCATTTTGCCTTGATGCTTCCTTCTTTTCCACAGGTTGCCTCATCTACAGCAGCCCTCACGGTCTTCCTTTGGAAAGTCTGTCCCATAGCTATTAGTTCCTTATTTCTTCTGTTCCTGCCTTAGAAATTATTCAGCTATGTCCCAAGCAGCAGAAAACACTATCAAAGTGAGGCAATCACGTGAGGAACTGTATGTGTACAGCACACTTCTGTGGTCCTTATGGATGCCCCACATGTTGTGTATGTGGGTGGGCAAGTGCCCAAACAGCACAACTCCTCTGTTATAACAGTAATAACAGTAATCTGTTATTGCTGCATTGAAGCTGGTGGATAACAACAATTGACACCTTCTAAAAGACTTCTCCAGAAAGCGTCACAGCAGTAACTTCAGTTCTCAGTATTTCATGGTGTTTTTTGTTGTTGTTGTTGTTTCTATCACTTTTCCCAGACGTTGGCTGGTGCTCCCCATCATTAAAATATTTAAAGCGTTTTAGGTTACAATTTGTATTACCAATCATATCCTTGAACAAAGTAGTATATTATCATCAGTTGGCAAAAATGGCATATTTCAATATACTTTCAA